TGACCATGGTTTGAGTCCCAGACCCAGCAGCTTGCTTGCTTGCTCGCGCGCTCTCTCTCGCTCTCTCTTTCTCTCTCTTTGTCTCTCTGCCTCTGGTGAGTGTATATGCCCTATAGCAAATTTAAATAATAATAAATAAAATAAACAATTCTGGGACCAGCAGTTAGCATAATGGCTATGTTGCTGAACTCCCATGTAGCCGACCACGGTTCAAGTCCCAGACCTGGTGGCTTAAACTCACACCAGGCACGTGTGCGTGTGTGCCCAAGATCCCGAAAGGAGAATGGAGGAGAAGGGATTGTGGTGTGGCCATCCCCCCTGGTGATTGATTTATCACTTTCTATCTCTCTGTCTCTCTCTGTCTTTCTGGTGAGCGTATGCGCTCTATAGCAAAACAAACGAACAAAAAACCTCTCCAAATAAATAAACAAACAAACAAACAGTTCTTTCACAAATGTAGCCAGGCCTTTGCAGACCCTTTCTACCCTGGTCCCAGTCTACCTTCTTGGCTATCTTTCTCAGCTTTTCTACTCACACTCACCACTCCAGCTACACAGCCTCTACAACCTGTCCAGCTAATCTAGTCTCCATGTACTTTCTTCATAGCCATCTCCTCTTCTCACCCAGAATGTAGTGTGGACCTCAACTTCATATCCACACCCCTGCAATCAAAATATTTACCAAACTGCTATCTTTCAAGGTCCAACTTATTAATAAATCTTGGGGTTTTTGACATTTCCTTTTTGAAACATTTTGTCTTCTAGCGTACTTTTTCTCCTCTGAAATTCTGTAGTACCAGGGAACTACATTTTAGTTTTCTGGCCCCTCTGTATTTCCAGTTTAATCTCTTACCACTTCCCCACAAATTACATGGTTCCAGCTCACTAGTCTACTCATCATTTTTCCCCCTCCTCACTGCCTTATGGAAACCAGGTTCCATAAAGCACCCCTGCTTCTCCTGTGTTTTTGACCTCTTCCTTCTATTGGCTTTCCACCTTTAGCATAGGAGCATGTTAATGTTTCTCATTTTTCAAACAAAATAAAAGCTTTCATCCTCCTTTTACTGCTGCCCTCTTCCCTTTTCCTTTCTACTTTTTGCCACTCCTCCATCATTCCATTGAAAGTATCTCTGCTGAGGTCAACCAATGACTTAAACATCTGAATTCCTTAGGCTCTTTTCAGTCCTCCTCGTATTACTCCTCCTCCCACAGTGTCTGACACCCTATTCCTTCTCTGGACACTCTCATTTCTCCCTTGACCCTGACACTGCCCTCTCCTGATTTTCCTCTTAACTTTTCTGAAGATTTTTGGGCTTTTCTTATTCACTCATGCCTACCTGATTTCTTTTCTGGGACTACTTTATTTCTCTTCCTATTGTCTCTGTCCCCTCCACAAGTGGTCTCACCCACTTAGATGCTTAAAACTCCTACCTATATGCTACCAATTCCAAACTTAGCTCTCCAACCTGTATCTTATATCTCATATTTCAGCCTGCAAATGTAGCTGCCTGTGAGAAATCTCGTGTCTACCACCCAGGTACCTCTCATTCCACATGTCTGAAACTGAACCTTTCATCCCTCCCTGTCTCGGTTAAACCAGCCTCTCTCTTGCCTGCATTGAATAATGCCAAAATCCAGTCAGTCACTCAAACCGGAAACCAGGGCATCATTCTCTACTCTTTCCTCACACTAGCTTCTTCCTCCAGTCTCATCAGGCACCAAGTCTTGCCGGCCCTACTTTACAGTGTTTAAAAAGCAAACTTCAGAATTACATGAAGTGAAAAAGAATCTTAACTCTTTTAAAAACAATAAGCGGAAAAGTATGCCAGCATAGATAATAGAAAGAACATAGGATTTGACAGAAATCCTGAGATGGAATCTCAGGCTCACCTACCAACTGTTTGACCTTAGATAAGCCATTTAAACTCTGAACTAGTTTCTTTAGCTGTAAAATGAGAATTCTAGTAAAAATAATAATAGTAAGGTGGTAAAAATAAAAAAGCTATTCATCTAAGTTCACGGCATTAATTTAAGGATTGTGATAAAGGATATAAAAAGTAAATAACTATACGAAAGGTTGCCATCACGGTGACTTTTATCTGTCCATCTACTTTATTTCCATGGGAAAGGGCAAGAAATGCCAGTGACTCTGTTGTGCATGTTCAACATTGGGACCTTTGTCCTTTGAACTTTACCTTAACCACCCTCAGAGAAGTGAACAGAATTAAGAAATTTTCTTATGATTGCTGGCTTGGGGCCAGCAGAGTAGTTATATCACTATATTCCCACATGGCTGACCACAGTTTGAGTCCTGAGCCTGGTGGCTTGAAACTCACTCCAGGAGCATATGCATACGTCCCCAAGAACCCAGGAGAAGGGATTGTGGAATGGCCATACCCCAAGGGAGTGATTTCTCATTTTACCTCTCACTGTCTCTGTCTTTCTCTCTGTTAACTGCACGCACCCTGTAGTTAAAACCTCTAAAACGAAACAAACAAACTAACAAACAAAACAGACAAAAGATTGCTGACTTAATATTTCTTTGGGGTCTTTATTTCTTCTCTCTTCCTCTAAAGAAACATAGGTATATGTTAGATGCTTTATCAAGCAATTTAAATTTTGTTTCCTGTTATTAGGTATTAATATTAACCGAGGCCTCCTATGCTTGGGAAATGTAATCAGTGCTCTTGGAGATGACAAAAAGGGTGGCTTTGTCCCCTACAGAGATTCCAAGTTGACTCGACTGCTTCAAGGTAAGTCCAAAGGGCCTCTAAAAATAAGAGAGTAACTCAGAATGTTACTGAGAAAACGAAGATGAAACAAGTTAAAAGCCATCTATTTGGGCTGTCACATACACAACGCTCTAATTGATAAATAGGAGAGCTGTTGGCAGGTAAGCTTCTAAGATCATGGGAAGATGTCTTCATGTATGACTGAGAACTGAGAAATCTGTAGAGTGACAACTGTACATAATACTTTACATTTGAAAATGAAATTGGTTACTGTTTCTTTAACTATTAGTGCTTCTAAGCATAATCCTCTCGAGTGAATATCTACCTAGAGGGGGCATGATAAGAATGTTTAATCCCAATAATGGCTCCTAATTTACCTATACCAGGCCCCAGTTTTCTTACCTACTTAATTGCTGAAATCACAGTCTCTCTTGAGATTGAGGACACATACAATAGGATTCTAATTTGTCATTTTACATATCAGAAATCTTACAGTTTTTATGTTGACACAAATATGAAATTTATAGATATCTAGAAGTTTTTTTAGATCTCTGAATTTGAAGTCACCAACCTAAATGGACAGCTTTGCTTGTGGCCTGCATGCTTGATTTTTTTCCTGCCATTGTTCTTTTTCAGATTCTCTAGGAGGTAATAGTCATACTCTTATGATAGCCTGTGTGAGTCCTGCTGACTCCAATCTAGAGGAAACACTAAATACCCTTCGCTATGCTGACAGAGCAAGAAAAATCAAGAACAAACCTGTTATTAATATTGATCCCCAGACAGCTGAACTGAATCATCTAAAGCAACAGGTATAGGGGACTTTAAATTTGATGTGGAAATTTGCAAGTAATTGAGTGAAATGATAGAGCTTCTGTTTCTCAGTTTCTCCTGTGTTAGAAATTTAGAAACATTAGTTAAGCATTATGTTAGTTTGGGGGCCTCTTAAAATAACTCCTGTTAATATGTTTGCTGTCCACTTAAGATTGAGGGTAGTGGGCCAGCAGCTGTTGTGGAGGTTAAGGAGGCTGGATCCCATGTGGCTGGCTGCACAGTTTGAGTCCTGGACCCAGTGGCTTTAGAAATGTGCAAGTGTACCCAAAATCCCAAGAGGAGAGTGGAGGAGGAGGGACTGTGACATGGCCATCACCCCTGGAGAGGTGA